TCCCTCTATTATTAAAATTCTCCCTCTCTGTCTAGCAAAGAATAATATTGTCAGTACTTTCTGAAGGTAAATGCTTGTTTTTCATATCCTATAGAGATTTAGTTTAATTGCATTCCATTGTTGTTCTGTTTTTCTGTTTCTAAAGTTGGTCATCACACCACCTATTAGGCTGTTCAGACAGGTGAATAACTAATTTGATGAATTTGCAAAAGGCAGAGATATATTTTCTACTAAAAAAAAAACCCAACGTACACTAAATGTCCCCCTTAAAGTTTAGATTACCTTGCTTTATTTGACAGACTGAAACAACCTTTCAAAAATGAACTACAACATTTTTTTTTTAATTGAAAGCCAAGTAATTTGTGCATGTAAGCCTTAGCTCAATACTAATTATCTCCATCTTGTGATATTTCAATGAGCAGTATGAATGTATGATGCTTTTATTTTGAAAAGAAAACGTTTTTCGTTTCCTGGCTGCAGAGGTCGTTAGGACGGTCTCCATTTTGTTAGCTTCTTAGCAAAATAAATCTTCGTCGGTGGTTTTAGGGCAACTCGTTTGTCCTCAGAGTTGCTCTTTGTCACCTGACAGTGAAAACTTGTGACAATGTGGTATGAAATCCTGCCGGGCTTCGGCCTCATGACCGTGTTTCTCATTATTCCCGGCATCGCCAACATTATCGGCCAAAAGTATTCAAACGGAGGAAAGGTGAGGGCAACGCTGCTGCTGCTAACGCGGCTCTGACCGGACTGACGGGAAAATGTAAACCGTGTTTGTCTGTTCTAAACCGCTTTATTAAAGTCATATTTTCCCTGCAGGAGAAGAGGATCGCTCGGGTTCCGTGGCAATGGTATCTGATGCAGAGAGACAAGCGAGTGTCCGGAACAGGACAGTACTTTGAGTCCAAGGTGAGCATCCATATGTGGACAGTCACAAACGCCTTTGCTAGAAAATGTGCACATTCTCCAACCACAGCGTTTAGTTTGCAGCTTTAACATGCATTATAATACTCTTCTTGTAGCCCTGTCTGGCACAGCCTGCAGTTTATCCACTGACATTGCAAGTGTCTCTTTTTATGCATAAATAAAATAAAAAGAATCAAATACTTAAACCCAGAGCCCCTTATTTTCCACTTTGCCAGAGCAAATATCAGTCCTGATCACAGCTATCCAATTATCAATCATTGTTAAGGATTTCAACCTTTTAAATACCGGTTTGTTTACATGATGGTAATGTTGTTGTTGTTGTTGTTGTTGTCTGGGTCATTTTTGTGTGATGTGCTGTGGATAAATTAAAACATCTAATTGGTTATTTAATTGCAGAAGTTGCAACATGGAAAACTTTTAGTGTAAAACGCTAAACTCCTGTTTTAGGTCTGTTTGTTAATTTTAAATGACCTGGAACAGACATGACGCAGACATAAGATCACATGTTTGTCATCTTTTCTGCTGAAAAGAAATGCAAAACTTTCCATTGCCACTTAAATCACGATTCATAGCACAATATCTGTCTGTCACAATTATGCTTATTTTTAATTGTTCGGCCGTAGTTGTTTGTGGATTTGGTGAATTCAGTTTTTGAAAGTTAAGCAAAATGTCTTCGTGATGACAGTTGTCCTATAAGCTATACAGAAGCCTTTTCAAATCAAAAATGTCTGCTAAGTTGCCTCACAGTGAGAATGTAACTCTGTACACACCTTCACACAAGTGTTTCCACTTTTTCTGTCTAATTAGACCTCTGCTCATCTTGGAGCTGCACAGAAACATACTAGAGAATACAGTGAGGTCACCAAAGTTCATTTACTAATAAAAGTGTAATTAAAGCCTTTACAAGTGAGGGAGTGAGGAAGGCGTCATTCATGTGCGTTGGCCCTTTTAAACATTAAAATGTCTGCAGGATGACTTTAAGACACTAATGAACTGAACTGAAAGTGATGACTGTGTGAGAGTCAGAGCAAACTGTCGTCTGGTGATCTGTGAAAACTGTAATTCTGAACAGACTGGAGTTGTGATGATCCTTTCTTTCTTTTTTTTCTCACCAGGGACTTGAGAACATTAAGTGATGATGAGGAATGTGGGGGCCGTGATGAGAAGAAATTTCTTTGTTGTATATTAAAATATGCTATATACCATTCAATTGTTTGTTTTTTTCAGTCTTTTATGGCAGTTGTCCCTGTGACCAATTAAACTATTCCAGACCGGAAATGTTTTGAGGATTTTTCTGTTGATTTCTACCAGCAACAAACGACAGGAGGGTTGTACATGTTTCTCGTAAGACTAGGTGTCTCTGCCATAGTGTCATCGCTTAGCTGCAATACAGTGCTGCCTACTTAATGTTATACTGACTTACAGAATATCCCAACCTACAGCAAAACATCCCGTTTATTGTCATAGAATAATGTCAGTATTGGTTTTTGTCTTGATGAAATTCCCCGAAATTGATGCCAGGAATAACTTTTGCCCATTTAAAGTCATGGTCGGCTGATCGTTACAGCTCACAGGCTGAACGTTGGTCATGCATGGCAGATTATCACACCCGGGTCAGCCGCAGAAGGCAGCGTGTTTGTCAATTACATTACATTTTTGATACTTAAAATTTGACAGTCTAATAATTTATGGCTCCAAAAAAAACCCCCAAAAACTTAAATGGTAATGAAAGCCATTTCTGGTTATCATATCAGCCAGCACGTCTCCATTACAACCCCCTAAAACCCTGCTGAATACTATTATGTCTAAAATACCACATTATCGGTACTGATTGCTGATAAACAGTGTTAAGGTGACAAAATGTGTTTAAAAAAAGAAAAAAAAGGTAGAGAGGTGTGAATACTTTCTAAAGCAGCTTTATCAGCTCGAAGTCAACTGGTTAAGATTGTTAACTTGTGTTATTTAACTACTGATTTACAGAAGTAGCTCAGGTGCTCTATTGCTTAGCGTATGAGGCTAATAACAATGAAGAAAACACACATTACTTCATCCTCAATATACAAGTATGACAAACTGGTTCTAGAAACTTTGCATGAAAGGATTATCATAAAGAAGCTATAGCTGTGGGACAAATGGTTCAGGACATCCCACCAGCACACAGTGATCTGATTGAAGCAGTTTGTTCTCACAAACGCATCCATTTACTCAACTGCACTCAAAATTCGCCTGATCTAGCACCATGACAACTTGCCCCTTTGCCCTTAAAAAAAGTTTACACACGGGATGCCTCTTTAGCTAAACATCCTGACCCATAAACAGGAGCTAAAGCTTCTGAACTATTGGAAAAAGACCTTCTGCACTGTTTGGACCACTGGAAGGCCACAGTGCAGGGGGGTGTAGCTGCAAAAGGAACTGTAGTGTAATTTTATTTTATTTTTTTTTCATTATTGTGGTTATAATAAATCCGAGACAAAATGAAATTATAAACATTTATGTTACATAAAGCTTTACTGAGTTTTCAGGTCACAAATAGACACTTTATATTCGTCAATAGCTAAAAAAAAGTTGGGGAACTGATGCTCCTATCAAAGACTGTAGCTGAGAAAAGCATGAAAAAGACAAAAGGTTATTGGTCGTGAAAATTTATTTACCGTTCTGCTCAGGAGTACTTGAACACATTTACAAGAGCAAATAAAGACTGAACAACTAAAAGATATAGGGAAAAATGGTGAATATAATACAACTCATTTACTTTCAGACATTTCTTTACAATTAAAATCCCTCCACACTGAACAATAAATTGTAGCTGAACACTGCAGACATAACTTTACACATCAGGTCACTGGACAAAGAGCAAAGGTGAGAGAAAACTCTGGGAACCTCACTTCTCCTCCTTGCCTTTGGTTTTGCGGTACACCATCTCCCTGAAGCTGGACAGGATCTTGCTCTCTCTCTTCCTCCTCTCCTCCTGGTTGAAGGACGCCAAAGCTCTCTTCTCGTCCGCACTGTAGATCTGGTTTTCCTTTCTCAGACGCACGGCCTCCATACGACGATGTCTGCAGGGTGACATTTGAAAACGTGTCAGTGTTACAGAAAGAATAGCTGAACGTTCCCCTCGAGGTCTGCTTTATGCAAAATAAGGCCACGCAAAACAGAAAAGTAGGTTTCAACAGCTTCCAGAATTTGTCTGATTTATGGTTCAGATAGTGGGTCAGATACTCCAGTGAGAACAGAGCTGAGACAACGGTGACAAAATGCACGTTTAAGCAAGAAATAAAAGAATTGTTAACAGATATTTGGTGTCTGTATCAGCAGATAAAAGAACATCAGTTGTGTAGCTTTCCTGAGCTTCTGGATCACATGAGCAGAACAGATTGGTGAAGGTATCTTTATGTATTCTACATTTAGAACAGGTTTAAAATGCTGAGGAATATCTCTGGAGAAGAACAGGTGTAAAATAAGTCCAAAAAATAAAAAATAAAATTCAGTTTGTGCATAGAAAGTACATTTTAAAAAGCTCTTATTGTAAATCTCAATCCAGTTGTTTAGACTAAATGTTATCCTTAACAACTTCAAAAAATCATAAGCAGAAGACTCTGAAATAGTGCAGAATTTGGAGGAAAAAAAAACCTTGAAGAGGAATGTCAAAATTAGCTCTTATTTGCTCAAAAGACTATAACGAATCCCTGATCAGTGATTCAATATTGCTAATTCTCCTTGATACTCATTGTAATTGCCTCAGAGCTTTAAAAATATTGTTTATTATCACAGTAGTTACTTTACAAAACAATGTTTAAACCACTGCATCATTCAAAAGCGCTCATAAAAAACACAAATGTACTGTTCTTTAATTTGTTTAAGTAAATTAACACTTTTTAAAGTCACGTAATTATTTTCTGGTCTTTTTTTCACCAACATCTTTAGCAGCTGGAGTAAAATTTGTCTTCTATATAGTGTAAAGCGCAAAATTACCCTTCCTGTCATTTATTTTCCTGATAATTTTCCATCTAACTGTGATTTGAAATGGAAAACTACTTTGCTATATATAGGAGGAATCCTACTAACATCATCATATTGACAAATGAAATACTGCTGCCACATAAATTGGTTGACAGCCAAAGTGAGAATTTACAGTCTGACCTAGAAACACTACGTACCTGCTGCCGCTCATGACGTAGCCGGACTTCTCAAAGTTTGCGATCTCCTCGCTGGTGAGTCCGATCTCTCCTCTTCTTGGGATACGTTTGCCGGCTTTCACGTACTCCGCCATCGCAGCACCTTCACCTGGCAACAGTGCGTGACCGAAACTGTTCGGAGACAAAAATAAAATCATTCAAATCATGCCAAGAAAATTCAGATTGTCAGACGTAACTCTCCCACTTCATTTTACCCAGAACTGCTTTATTTTGTTTGTCTTTATAGTTACTGTTTATATTATGTTTTCTAAATTTACCTTATTGTCTGATTACTGAATGCCCTGTGGTTTTCTGTTCTAACATTGGCATGTCCTAATTTCGCTGTATGCAGAGCTTACGTTGACGATAAAGGCGTTATGATTCTGATTCATATGCAGATGTGGTCACAAAACAGCATGAACGCACCGTTTAGAAATTAAATGTCATAAAACACTGATTTTCACTTTTTGATCCAAAGTTTTTTGTAGTACATGTCTGCTGACAGCAACAGGAAAGATATACTAATCTGATGAAGACACTTGCTTTCTGCAGCAGATTGTTGGCTGCTTGTCATCCGAGCTTTGTCAATTTTCTAACATCTGTACACGTTGCGAGCTTCTATTGTCAAAATTCTAATCACAGGCATGAAGTATAAGAACAAACGTGAATGATGGAGCCACTCACTCCAGGGGGCGGTCGTCCTGCGACATGTGCGTGAGCGGCGCTTCGGGGCCAACCAGGTTTTCATCCATGCAGGTTTTCTCCACCCACATCACTCCACTGGGATCCTCCTCCTCTTCCTCCTCGGACTCTTCACTGCTGGAGTCGCTGGTCTCCTTGCGGCTCTTCTTCGCCTTCTTCTTCTTGGACTTCTTGGACCTGTGAAGAAATGTGATGTTTGGTGAATCAAACCGCCCCAAAGCTGACAAGTAGCTGAATATTATATATGAGGACCTACTTCTTGCTCTTCTTTTTCTTTTTCTTCTTCTTTACTTCTTCTTCTAAAAGATAAAAACCCAACAGGTCAGCTGATGAAAGCTAACAATAACAGACTTTGATTGGCTTTCTGTAACTGATTATGATTATCTCACCGTCTGAATCTGATTCCAGCTCGCTGTCCTCTGAGTGCTTCTTGTTCTTTCTTTTCTTTGACTTCTTTTTCTTTTTTTTCTTCTTTTTCTCTTCTGTTAATAGACGACAGGATTTCTTGTAAACTCAAACAATACACAGTGCAACTTTTTCATGTATTCATTTATTCATGTTCGCACACTGCATACCTTCTGAACTTGATTCTGAACTGCTGTTTTTCTCGTCTTCTTCGACTGGTGTGAATTCATCAGAGCTGATGGACAAAAAAAAACAAAAAAAACCAAAAAAGACAAAATGATATATGATTAGAGATTAGATGAGATAGAACTTTATCGATCTCTTTGGTAGGGTACGTCAGGGAAGCTTTCTGGACACAAATGATGATACAAAACTGTCTGATGCTCCAAAGACAACAAAACATAGAAAGATTTACTTGCAATTAAGTTGTTCTTGACTTACTCTGGTTCTTTCACTCTCGGTGAATATCCCCAAACTTCAGGGCAACCTAACTCACCGATCCTCTCCCTCTCCTGCAGACGCCTGGAACAGAAAAAACTGATGATTCAGTCTGCTGGTCCAAAACAACCATTCCTCCATTTTTAATCATGTTGCAGGTCAAACACATCAAGCAAATCACACACACATCAAGTTGTCTGGTTTACAGTGGTGTCACAATTAAATGCAAATATTTAGAAATCTGGAAAATTATTTGGAGAATTTGACTATTTGATACAGTATTCTAGATAATACCTGCTGTTGTTTTATGTGCTCCATAAGTAAACTGACTTCATTTGATCACTTGAACACTATATATCAGTATGGGCAAAAAAAAACTTTATGTGTCTTCTAGCTCTTCTAGCTGTTTTGAGCCATGTATTCTCATGTCACTTAGAGGTTTCAATTAATCCACATGTTGTTTTGACTACAAAATGCCATAAAATGGTTACAAATGTTTCCCAAAGCCCAAGATGATTGTGTCCGCAACCAAAGACTTTCAGTTTACTGTCAGAGAAGAGCAAATAAACCAGAAAATACTGAAATTTAAGAAGCTGGAATCAGAATTTAGTTTTTTTTTTCCCTTGAAAAATCTGTCATTCCAGTGAATTGATTATCACAATAGTCGGCGATTAATTTAACAGTTGACAGCTGATCGATTAATCACTGCAGTGTTGTTTTATAATTACCAGACTTTTAACATCTAACAGAGGATTGAGTTGCATTATGGTAACATCAGGATAGTTTTGGAGCTTGTTCTTGTTCCTGCTGTCTGAATTTAGGCTCAATGGAGGAGTTTTCGTACCTGGCAATAAAAGCTTCCTGTCTCTGTCTCTGAGCGTCGTCCCTCTGCTGCTCGTAATAATAATCATCCTTGAAGCTGCTGTGTTTTCCAGGTGCGTCCCGCTGCTCGGACCAGTGATTGTGGTTGTGACTGTGGTTGTGGTTGTGGTTGTTGCTGCTGCTGCTGCTGTTGTTGTGGCGCTCCCTGGACCGAGATCGAGACCTGGACCTGGACCTGCTACGACGGGGGCTTCCGATGCGGATCCGTCGGATGTTTCTCGCCTCCTTGAATCGACGCTCCCGTTCTTCCCGCTCCCTCTCCCGGTTACGTGGTTTCGGGAGTTTGGGCCCAAAGCTGTCCGGAGACAAGCTTCGATCGCTGCCGCTGCGGTTGCGGCTGCGGGAGCGAGTCCGAGGTCTTCGGGCCCGAGGGCTCCGAGGATCCCCGCCGCCGTCAGAGCTCGACCTGTCCGATAGAGGCATGTCCTCTGACCGCTGTGAACTCACAGTGATGCCACAGGACCGATAAAAAGCCGAATACAGTCACTCTTTAGAAGGACATACACAAAATGTCGCCTCACGCTTCTGCTTTTCTTTTTTGGTTAAACGCAAGGAAAGCGTCCAATAACAGGAAGTCGTGACTGGTCCGTCTCAAAACAGACACCGGTCTTCCCCTTAACCATGTAACATATAGTTCCGTTTGTACTTGCATAATTTAGTTTTGAAAAAAATACAACAAACAAACAAACATTCGTTTGTCATGATTGTATAAATGCTTCTTTTTTGTTTTTCCACCGTTTTTGTTTTATTGTTGAATCACAGGCTAGACCTGCATTGTACATTTATTATGTTTTTGTTTCCATCTGCGCTTATGCTTCTAAAGTACTTTATAAACATTTCCGTTATCAGAGTAGCTATTTCAATACAGTTTTTATAGATAATGTCAGAACAAGCTGTGAATGCACAAAAGAATGAAACAGTCACTAACCCATCCAAATAATGGAAATCAGGTGTTCCAATCACTTCCACGGCCACAGGTGTATAAAATCAAACACCTAGGCATGCAGACTGTTTCTGCAAAGTTCTGTGAAAGAATAGGTCGCTCTCAGGAGCTCAGTGAATTCCAGCATGGTACTGTGCTAGGATGTCACCTATGTTAGTTTCAGTGAAAGACTCTCTGAATGCTTCAGCATAACACGATATTTTGGACAATTCCATGCTCCCAGCTTTTGTAGGAACAGTTTGGAGATGGCCCCTTCCTCTTCCAGCATGACTGTGTACCAGTACACAAAGCAATTTTTAAGTGAGTATATTATTTATGCCGTAAGCATAAACTGCAGTCATGAGGTTTTTGCATTTTGTCTGTCTCCTCAGCAGCTTTCATGACTGTAGGAGTTATATTTCTGGAGATATTAACTCTTTAAAGGGCTCCCCCATGTGAGACAAAAACTCAAGGTCTGAAGATATATGAAAACAATTCTTAAAATTATTTGATATACCTTGGTATTGGATTCCAAACAACAGGCAATTAAACTCTGAACAACATCTGAGATGATGCAGCAACATATCAACTAAGTTGAAGTGACATAAAGTGACTTGTGTCAGTCTTCACTACAGAGCTTGTGTTCATCCTCTGGGAACTTGGGTGGGTGGAGGAAGTTGAAGAAGATAATTGTATGGTCAGACTCTGTTGCAGCACTAATGGCACTAAATGGGAGGAAAGCAGGGCCAAGTCAGATCGAATAAAATAAATTCTGACTGTATTAGATTATGCATCCAGCACATGGAATGCTGGAGTTTTTATAGGTCCTTGTACAGTACATTCAAAATTCAAGATATTTATTTGTAACATGCTCATACAGTGAGATGCATTAAGGTGGTGCATTAACAACAAGACATGATGTATAATAATTAGTACAGAGATTGTGAAACTAAAGTTCAGTGTACATTCTGCAAAACTTGGAGCGTGTGTGTTATGTTTATGCATAAAAAGTGTGTGAGTTGGATACATGCACGTTATATACAAATTTACATTGATCCAGTGTTCTGGGAAATCAGTGAAAAGAGAAGCTGATAAAAACAGAAAAACATTAAAGCTGCAGGCAGTGTTTAACGGGCCCACGTCGAGGTGTGGTGCGTTGGGGTTGTGGAAGAAATGCAGTCTGGGCAAAGTGACAATCTAATCCTAACCCTAACCACATGTGAAGTTAATATGGTCAACCAGCGAATAATAGCAAGACACAAGTGTAAAACGTGTCCTTTCCCATTTCCAGCAGGTGGCGCTGTGACTGAATGGATAATGGCAAGAAAATGTCATCAGGGCAGGATTTGACAACATGTAAAGTTTGAGGGGGCGAGAGCAAAAAGACACAAGGACAGTGTCTACCTGAGAGCTGTGAAAGTTATCTGATGATACCCACATTCCCAGGGTTCTTCCACACACTCTCCCATCACCCAATCCCTGCTTACTTTGCAGAAGATTTAGATTTTTTTTTTTCATCATTAAGGCCACGTTTATCGTGTAGAACTGCTGTTTTTTTTTGTTGTTTTTTTTTTTTTTTGCTGCTGTTGAGATTTGGTGAGATTGTGTGTTGTAGGAATGGCACAAACAGTGTGTCAGATAGAAACAGACAGTTGTGTTTTGTAAGAGGCATTTATTGATTAAAAAATAATATTGGCATGCACAAGTTACACAAGTGTTATTTAAACTGAGACTTTATAGACACAGGTCTCAACATTCGTCTGTCTTCAGTGTTCAAGGGCTCTGGGCTTTGGAGGGTTAGGGTTAGCTCTCTATGTCCTCTGATTCTTCTGGGAGGTTCATAGCTTCTGGTAGTGGCTTGTCGTCAGATGGCTGTTGTGCCGAAAAACCTGTGTGGACATATACCAGATGAAATTCTGAGCATCAGTTTAAATCCATATTTGTATGTGTACTGGTGGTATTATTCATATCTATTCACAAGTACTAACCTTGGTAAAACGCAAGACTTGTTTCGACATTTTGATATTGTTGGTGTAGTCTTTCCTTCTCTTCTTCGAAAAGGGCTGCGCCACGCGACGCATCTTTGGTTGCTCTGACACTTTCGTTGAGGACATTAATTGCCATTGCTGCCACTTCGAAGGCCATGGTTTAAAGTTCAGATATAGAGATGCTGTCATCTGTGCAGGCATGCTGTGAAAGATCATACACAGTGTTATACTTTCTTTCTTTAGACTGGACAGTGCTTATTAATGAACATACTATCTCAACAGTTTACACAAAGTTGCGGTAAATACACCAGATTCAGCACAAGGCTTTCATCTGTTGTCCCACACATAAAAACATACAGGGATACAGACGTATCAAATAAAACAAAACAAAAACAACATTGTAAAACAAAGACAGTGATGAGAAATTAATTCTGACCGGGTTAAACTGATCTTAAACTGAGTCCTGATCTTCTAGTGATGGTGAAGGCGAAGAGAAAAGAGCGTTGCTGGGTCTCTCTGCCATCTTCAAAGTCCTCAGCCGTTGATGCTTCTTCACATTTGGCACATTTGGCGAGTTAAATATTGTGGTGCTGAATGCAAAGGCAACTGTTAGACCAGTCAGGGTGCAAGGATGCTAATGTACTAGCTGGAAGTGTCTGAAAGGCTTGAATGCAGGGTGATGATGTTGAAATGGGCTGTTTGGATGTAAATGATGTGTGGCCATGTGATTGGTAAGCATACTCAAATGAATCTCACTTAACTGGTTTAGGAGTACAGGATCGTTTAAGCTTGGTTTTCCAGTACATGAGAGCTGCAGAATGAATTAGAACAGGACAGATCGTGAGTTTGCTGCTGTTTCTGACGGTTCGCTCATGTGAGATTAACCTGCATATAGAAAATACATTTTATGTAGCTGTAAATGGATGCAAGTTATCAGAATGTAAACAGGACTTGTGCTTTACATGTGTTTTGTGTACTGTTGTGTTGTTGGTTGACAGAGGCCGAGTTGCAAGGACTAATGTAATCTGATATTAGTTTGTGTCAGAGTGTTGCACATCTTGGTTTAAAATTAGCTCATGCAGATTTGAAAGGAATATGTGCTCTGGTGGAAAATTAAAATACAGATCCCTGTGTAATCAAGTACAGTGTATTGATAGTAACTGTCACATGATGTTTAATCAACACAAAGATATGTGGTTAGTCAAACATTTTATAATAAACCCAGTGATATTGTGTTGCTGTAGAAGGGATGAATGAGTGACAGATCATTGATGTGATGTGCTGTTTGTCAAGTAAAAAGTTGTTCGTATTACCAGTAACGTGATAGAATGGATTTGTTGTCTCTATTGCAGTGCCTTTCTATACATGGCGGTACACTGCATGATAAGGAAAGGCATACAATTATAAATAGGGTTGTCAAAATGAACGCGTTGATGCGGATTAACCCATCATCATGACTAAAAATTCTAATGCAATTAACCCAGCTGCAGCACAGAATGACTCAAAATCCCTGAAACGTCTCTGGCAACGCATTTCGGGCAGTTTGTCCAAGTAGACTTACCGTCGGGCATGCCGTCGCACATGCGCAAATGGGCCGTTGATCGGTGGTGTCAGACATAACCAACTCGACAAGGAAGACCCCAAACAACTCTGTCGGTGGGAAATTTGAAAACAAAAACAAGACGGAACAGTACATACAGTAATATGCACACTCTACAGGAAGGACTTTTCTTTTGGTCATCGTCAATCTTTAAAGGTGTGTAATAAACACGTTAAATACATATAAGCCATTCTTTCTTTGCAATAACAGCAGCAGCAATTAATATAGAAATTGAAGAGCTGTGTGTGTGTTTAAACCTTTATTGGCCACTATCTATTCCTCAAATAAGTTTGTATGGCAAAGACCTGAATTTGGTGTAAACATGACAAGAATTGATCGTAACTGTCACGTGATGTTTAATCAACACAAAGATATGTGGTTAGTCAAACGCATTATATTGAATTATATTGTGTTGCTGAAGAAGGGATGAAGAAGTGAAAGGTCATTGATGTGATGTGCTGTTTGTATTAACAGTAACGTGATAGAATGGATTTGTTGTCTCTACTGCAGTGTGTTTTTTGTACATGGTGTTATAATACATGGAACCGAAAAGACTAAAAGCTGTACAAAGTTCGACCAATAGCATTGATGTTTCAAATAAGAGCAGCATCACAAAGCTTTACATAGAGCAGTGTTAACATAGAAATGGTGGAGCTGTGTGTGTGTGTGTGTGTGTGTTTAAACCATTATTGGTCACCTTGTATTCCTACAATAAGTTTGTATTTCATAGAAATACAAGTGGTGTAAACATGACACAGACATGAAACTTTTGCTAGGAACACACATATTGTACTTGTATGTGGCCAACTTTTATGAAGTGAAGTTGTTTTATCAGAATCTCTTGTCATTGTACAAGAAAGCACAATGAAATTTGGGTTGGCAGCTCTCGTAGGCAGTGTAACACATCAGGAAACAAAAAGTGCACAAGACATAGTATACAGTTTTTAAAAAGACTGTACAGTTCACAGGGGTTCATGAAGTCTTCTTCATCCGACTAAGGGGATGAAGAATGGAAAAAAAATGAATATAGAATAAAAAATCAATCAAAAACAAAAACAACTGGGATACTGCAATCAAGAAATTATTGCACTAGGAGTCTTGCACTGTGAAACATAGCTATGTTAGAAAGGTAGAGTTTTAGTTTCAACTGGTAGCCAAGGTGTTGTTTTTTTTGAAGGAGGGCTAGGTGCAGCCAAGACATGCATTTCTACATGACAAAGGTCGCACACCCAGGTATTGATAGTGGCCATTTCACAGGTTACAGTATGTATTGTTGTGTAATGGGGGTGTGTTGTAAATAGGCGGTGACTGGAGGACAGTGTCTGAAAGGCTTGGATGCTGGTCTTTTGGATTTGAATAAATTCCACACAATCACATTCCTTTATGATGCTTCTGATTGGTGGGCCACTTTGACTAGACCTGTTCAAAGTGGTTAACTATACGGATCAGGCACAGAGGCCTTGTCTTTTGATAAATTCTCAGAGAGGCTCCACACAAATCACCACAGACCAGAGATTTTTATAGTTTCTGCCTTGTGAAGATGAGTATTTATCAGACCTAAGGATACCTGTTGTTCTGTTCTTCTTGTTTTGTTTTTTTTCTGTATTTTTCTTTTGCGACAGTTTATTTTTTATTTTTTTGTATTCCAGGTGAGTGATTCATTTAGAAGCATTTGTATGTTGTTGAAAATGATGTGCTGTTAGGAAGAGTATATTGGATGCACAAATTACCTTTTTGTTCAGCGTTAGAACTGAATTTGTGTCCAGTTGTGGAGGGGTAGAAATGTCTTGTAATGATTAAGATGTTGTGTTTATAATTTTATAGATGCCTCGCTACAAGTCCTACCGCCGTTCCCAGGCTGCCAAGAGAAGGGTGGAGACGCAACGTGCTCTGAACATTGAACTCGAGCAGACTGGCATTGCCAGTCATGCATGTACGTAGCCTAATTTTAAATTCATTCTATTTTATATTTGTGAGGGTTGTATTTTCATGCTTTGTGCCAGTTATATGATTCATATGCATCTGCACATACATTAACACGGTGCAATTTGTAAAGAGTGGATGTTCAATATTTTGGTGTTTTGTGTTTTTATAATAGGCAGAGGTACTGGTTACCGACATGCTGTGCGGAAATGGCCAACTTCATCCGTTACTGGACAAAGCCACAAGGTGGTAATTCCAGCTGAGTCACCAGACAAGAAGGTATTATTCAGACATTCTACAATTTCATTTAGCAGATGTTGTTTTGGAATGTTTGAACATAATATAGAAATACTGGTATTCTGATTTTAATTCAAGAAAATGTTTTTATTCTAGTTTGTGCTGCTTGTTGGTGACTCCCACCTAAGAAGTGTTGCTGACGGATTCGTGGAGATGCCAGAGGGGGACTTGTCATTTGGTGTGATGGCAACCCCAAAGGCTGCTGCAGCTGAGCTGAGGATGGAGGTGATGAATGCCGTTTTGCCTCGGACGCCTGATGCCGTCTGTCTTTTGGCCCCCAGCAACAACCTGACTGCCAGCAAGACCATTGACGAGGCCGCGGCAGACTTCGGCAACCTTCTTGTTAGTCTCTGCAACCTCCATGATAACGTAAGCATATTTGCCAACTTTTGCTATGAGTGTCTTTGTCATATTAAAAGTAATTTGTAAGAGATATAAATTCTGCACAATAATGTATTTGGTTTATGTGGGAATTGGTTGAATTATAATGAAAAAGAATTGTGTTTTACAGGTGGCTGTGCTGGACTTTCCTCCACGTTTGAATGTTGACATTGACCTACAGCAACACCTTCATCAGGCGTTTCATTTTGTGGCTGCACATATGGGTATGTAAAATAACAGTATGCATAGACATCTTTATAAGTGGTTATCAAATCTTTGGCAAAGATATTGAGTACATATTGTATGATATTAAATATGACTTAATTGGAAAAAAAATCATAAAATGTAATATGTACTTTGCTATATTTATTTCCTATTTTTCTTTTTTTTTTTTCTTTTAAGGTGTGAAGTACTTCTCTACTGTGGAGTGCTTTCCCATGACCAACCTGGAGTTGTGGAGCAGGGATGGTGTAAGTATGACAGTATGTTGTGTCAAGTCAAATGAGAAACTGCGCAACTACAATGACAAGGCCTGTACGTACAAAGACAAGAATAAGAAGTTGAATATGGATGTGAATGTTTCTTTCCGCAGGTCCACCTGTCTGACACTGTGGGGATGCCTATCCTGACGCAGCTGCTGTGGTTTGCTTCCTACATGGTAAGCTGTGACTATTGTTTAGATTTCTGTGTTGTCTATTTGTTTGTTTGTACTTTGTCCATGGCCATGCATATGTCTTTTGTTTAGACATGCAAAGTACATGTGTATACCTCTTATATACATGAAGCATTTTGTAATTGTGTTGTTTCAACATGAGAAACAAAAATCTGTATGGATATTTATTTTCAGATACTTCAGCCACCAGCCCCAGAGCTCCAGTTCCCACCCAGGTCACCACAGCGCAGATCCTTGCAAAGACTGGTTGTGAAGGAAGAGGTCACCGAACTACATCCACCAGTCAACCCCTTTGAGTGGACGCCTGTTAGACGTGGCCAGAAGGTAGGAGATAGTTCCATGTCATTTTGTGGTGCTGACTATTTGACAGAAGGGCTTTGTCTTGAACAATTGTGTCCTAATTGTTAAAGGGGAGCTATTTTGTAACACATAGTATCCTGCTTGCCTACAGAGACATCAGCCAGAGGAGCTGCAGCAATCCAGTGGTCTGGCTTGCAAAAGGAGCCTACTACAGCAGCAGGTGAGGCATTTTATCAATATTTGAATAAAAGTTTTTTGGTGCACAATATAAAGTATCAAAGGAGCAATAATGTCTGACAAGTTGGAGCTATAAGTAGATAACTGTAAAACAATGAAAATGTACATGGTTGTTTGTGTTGACAGTGTATGAAATGTCTTTGTAGGTGGAGGAAGCTCCAAGTGGTGTGCAGGTGTGTTCCTGGAGATCACCTAGCCGTGCAGCGACTGTGTCCGTAAAACAGGAGGTTAGTACATTTTTCTTTCATTGGAATTACAAAGTTTCATTACATGTATTTTTAATGCTGTTCATTGTAAACAATGTACGTCATTTCTTTGTGCTCATTATCATAAAATGCATCCTTTCTGTGTTAGTAATTTTGTATGTCTGTAAATACACGTTTGAAATGCAGTTAATTTCATGTTTTGTGTGCTAGGTGGACATGGTCTCGATTGGTGTGAACACATCTTCCAGGCCGCTATCTGCAAGGGCTGTGAATGAGGAGTTGGATGCCACACCGAGCACTGTTGACATGCCCATCCAAAGTAAGAGTGATGCATTTCCTAAACTTTGTGTGTGTTTAGATAAGCTGTTGGCAGCTCTTGTTTCTGTAAGTTGTGTCAGAAACACACCTTTGACACATGATGTCATTGTAGTGACAGCAGGTAATGCGGCTGCAATCAAGCATGTGATTGCTGCTGTGTGTACATGGCAGCAGTCTGATAGTGATGATATGTGTGTAGAAGGGACCAAGTTAGCCTCATACGTAATATAGGAAAGCCCAGTCATGCATGTATGTAGCCTAATTATACATTAATTGTATTTGTATTTGTCAGGTTTGTATTTTCATACTTTGTGTCAATCATATGATTCATGTGCATCTGTATGCACGTACATTAATATGGTACGATTTGTAAAGAATGGATGTTCAATATTTTCGTGTTTTGTGTTTTTATAATAGGCAGTGGTAGTGGCTACCAACATGGAAATGGCCAACTTCATCAAATGTTATTGTCAGTTGCCGGGTAGAGTTTGGTCCTAGTAACTGTACTGTGCTACCAACATTTGGTGCAAACAATCAGGACGTGCAATGTCAACACAAAGTACATCAGCGAAGAGGCTAAAAATGAGTTATGTCAATGATGTACATTCAGATGTGCTTTTTTTTTTTTTTAACTGATGTGTCTAGTAGAAAACTGCAGTTTAATCCTCTGAATGATGTGTCAGCAAAAGCTATGTGGACACAGTTAAATATTGAGTCAGAGAAACTTGACTCAATGTCTGAAGAAGGTGGTGACGTCGGTGCTCCATGTCAAAATGACAAAATTGTTGCTGATGGTAACAGTTTCTTTCGTGTGGTTAACCAAACAGTGAGTGGTACACTGAAGTATCAAAAGAAAATTAGATTAGCTGTTGTTAAGCATTAGGAAAGGAATACTGTGGCATATGAGAACACTCTGCCAAGTGAGTGTTCCTCTATGACTGAATACCATCTAAAATCTAAAATGCGCTATGTTGGCAGTTGGGTTTTGTTATGGAGCAGTTTTTGGAGAAAATCAAAGGTGGTCTGGATTTTGTGTGTTGCGTTTGTATTAGGTTTTTGTTAAGGCATGAGGCGTGTAACGTTAAAATGGACTTTTTAACAAAAGGCCCCAATGAGCTTTGCTTCAAAAATGTATTTGGAGTCATCTACAGGTCAATTTGGGGTTTGCTACACTAGTCAGCCTAGGATTAAGAAAGGTAAAGTTCCACTTCATCCTGTTCCAGGGGAACTGGCCTGTTTGAATCGTTTAGAGCAACATTTAATTGCATTAAGTATTCTTTTTATGAAGATGTTGGCATTGCCTGAAAGTGGGCAAAATGGAGTACATGGGCCTGTAACATGTGTTCCAGCCGACATTGTTCAGTCGACTCATGTTCAGTCCCGTTTCGATCTAACTCCTGAAAGCATGTACACTGGAGACCAAAAGCACTTGGTAAATATACTTCTGATGACTGCTAGGAAAATGGTGACAGTAAAATGGATGAACCCACAGCCATTATTCCTGATTTAGGAGTTAGTAGTGAGCAGGTGCAATTAGAAGAAATGTTGTCTTGTCAAAACGGGAGGGTTTAGACTTCATTAGATCACTTAATCACACTCATATGATGATTTTTGATCAAAGTTTTTTTTTTTTCTCCCTGCGTTAAATAGCATATAAGCTAGAGGTACAACATCAATGTCAAAGAAAATCCTCTTCACATATGGCACATAAATGTACAAAAGTATGCCATCAACCATGCGAACTGAAGTCAGTCAGGAAGTGGCACTGTGACAATATGTAATTGTTGACTTGTACATCTGCTCAAACAAAGACTGCTAACACCTGTATAAATGTAAATATCCTAATATATCTAGCACCCTCAATATTCTTGTAAATAATGCTATAATGCTATGGTTCTTATTTAATGTTCTTCTGCTACTGTTTTGCATTGTTTTACTGTTACTTTTTTATATTTATATTGTATCTTCTGTTTTTTTCTGTGTTGTTGCACCAACCCACCAGAACAATTTGCTGTATTGTTTAAACTATACTTGGCAATCAACCTGTTCCTGATTCTAATACACATTGCGTTTAGAGTGACTTCAGCCATGGACTGTACAGTTTCATATAAATTCTATGTTTATTGTCACACAGAGCTTACATCCTCTTATCATTAGATGGCACAGAGAGCTGTGAAAGCTCCTGACACCACACACATCCCCAGGGCTCATCCAGTCACACACACACTCACATCACCCCACCCCCGCTGACCACACACACACACACACACACACACACACTCAACAGACACACTCAGTACACAGGTGACCCATTACCTCACACAGCCTGGACACTGCACTGTGCTTGCACTTTTTTTTTTTTTTTAGAATGTTTGTATTTATATTTGAGTATTTACGTTTATATTTATATTTGAGTGTATTTGTGTTTACACTTTCTTAAATCTATTTTTATGCCATTTTTCTTTTTTTGGTTAAAGCCAGGACTTCCGACTACAATTCGTCGTGTGTATGGAGGCATATGCATAATGACAATAAAAGGATTCTGATTCTTAGTCTGATTCTGATTGCATTTCCACGCCGTCGCACTTTTGGAGAATTTTAATAACTTTTAATCACCATTTCCTTCAGTTTGTGCTGGCCATATTTCACATGTGTACGCTGTAGCCCCAAGGAGGAGATATTTTGAAAATGCCAAAAATTAGGGAAATTTGCTGAAATGCTCGTCGTTTTTCCAAAATGGTGGAATTCCTGTTGGATGTACGATGTGGGCACCCTGGACTTTGTGCTTTTTCATAGGTCTAGGCAAAATGTGCTTCCGCAGGACTCTTTTGAATTTTTCTAGAGGGTGTTGTAGAGCCATTTTGGCATTGACATGCCCAATTCCTTCAAAATATCCAATTTTTCGCCAGTCCTGATGTGCGTGCAAATTTTGGTGAGTTTTTGAGCATGTTTAGGCCCTCAGAATCGCATTTGTTTTTGGCAAAAACGAAAGTATGATAGTCACAGTCGTTCGAAAGGGTCCTTGCACTGATAGTGCTCGGACCCTATTAATAATTCCTTCAGTTTCAATAGAATCCTACGCACTGTCGCACCAGGGCCCTAAAAACTGTCTGCTATACTAAGCTCTTGCAGTCAATAATTCCATACAGGATTTCCAGATACATTTCCTTCTAGCAATGTATAGCAAAGTTATGGCAAAAGGATAGGAGAAGGGACATGAACACAGGTTTTATTTTTCAACTCGTGCCAAATACCAGAATGGACAGGAGGGACAATGTGGTCATAAACCAGGCTGAGACTGGGCCACTGTGCAGTTGAATCATGGGCTGACAGTGGTTGAAAAATGCATCTGTGGAGAGGCACAAACTGTGAATCATGCTCATCAAACAGATCACTGAAATAAAGTCTAAACCAACACTTTAACAGAATATCTGCACCGTGTCGGAGTCTATGGAGTTCTACAAATGACCTGTGGAGGGCAGCATCACGCCTCTACTGTGTCTGACCGACCGCAAATGTCACTAAGACAAGAGGAAGTACATCAGCACAATAACACAGGTTCAGTCTCTACTATATGGTGTTTTTAGCAATAGAGCAGTTGAACAAACAAACATGTCTTTTTGTACATCGCAATCGGACCCCGTGAATACGCCGATAGAGGGAAAGCAGCAGCTGAGTTGTATTTATTTTTTTAATTTTACCGAATTAAATACAACTCTGCTGGCAGAAAGTTTAATCCAATTAATTTAAGATGAAGCGGATTTACAATTACAACACTCCAAGAAGTATCACAGGTACAGCCGAGGGGGGAGGAGGAGGAGGAGGAGGAGGAGGAGGAGGAAACGGCTCCACAAGTGCTTACATTTACTTTAACTGTGGCTCAGATAGTTTGCGAGCTGTTACCTCAACACTAGACCTAAAAAAGTAAGCACCTTTCAGCTGAAGTAACCTCCGAACACTGCTTCTCTTATAACTTTGTGAGCTTGAAGCCACTGTTTTGTTTGTAACATGTCTTATCATGCAGCACAGTTTATATTTAGAGTCATCTGACACGACGGCGACTCCTTGTGGCTGATGAACAGAGAGGCTAACCGTGAAGCGCCGCTGGCAGCGGAGCTGGTCTGTTGTTAGCCATTGTTTGTAGACAGCCAAGTTAATTAACACACTTTTTAGCGCTGAACCTGCTTAGTCTTGGCAAAGGCATCAAGATTGCAGGTAAATCTTAATTTTATATATATTACTGTTAGAGTACAAGCTTTCAGAGTGGCGTGTATTCATTGCGGTCTTGTGTTTGAAGCTAGCATGCTAACAAGATGCTAAACAGTAGGCCTCGCTGCCCGCTTTCATTAACCAGGAAACACAGCCAAGCTAACCTTTGTTAGCTCGCTACCAACAGCGGTTGAATATGACAATAAACACCTAAAAAGCGAAAATTGTAGATTTATCTAAGAGGCGGAACGACCCGTTAAAGTTCGGTTAACGCAGTTATCTACCTGTGTAATGTCATATGAGTCTAAAATATGAGGCAGTGACTGCAACTTTGAAAACTAATGTTTAGCTAACGCCAGCTAACGTAATTGTTTTTGTTGCCTAACATAATAGGGCTGCACAATATAGGCAAATATATATGTATGTATTACAACATAAAAAGGTACAGGAGCCTTTGCAAGATCAGTTGAATTGTTCAATTAGGAAAGCGTTAGGCACTTCTAAGTGAAGGTGTGATCTTGTAGGGGAATGCATTCAGGTAGAAAATAATGATTAAAATACGTCATTCATTTCTTCAACCTGTATGTAAAATGTCAGTGCACTGGAGGCCTCATTATGTCGTGGGCGAGTTAAACAGAACGATGTAGGCACACAAATTAGAAACTTGGATAAGAATACCTATAAAACACCACCAATCAGAAAATAATAAAAATACAAAGCATTTACAAATCTCGCAAAAACAAGAGTAGCTGGAATTACAATAAAATGAAAGCCTGAATTGATGTAAGGATACAAACGAGTCTTCGTTTCCTTGTAGCAGGCTGTAGGTGGACAGTGAGCAGGAGTGTTTTTAAACTGGTCGTGTAATCCAGTCATTTGAGCTGGTTTAGTAAGGAGCCACATGAAGTCGTCTGTAACCTTTTTCACATGCGGTCAAATTGTAATACTTTTGACAGGTATTGAGGTTGTAATATGGAAATGGTAATTTTAGTATTTCTGTCCCAGTGAATCAGAAATAAAAATAGTAATGTGAGTTTTGCTGCGATCTGTACCAAACAGCCATGTTCCCTTAAATATGGAGGATATAATTTAACACAATATCTCATTTATAGTAATACATTGTGAGACATTTAATTTAGACTTTGCACTTGGCTATATTGGGATTTTTGATGATATTTAATGCCGATTTATATGATGAGGTGAATGACTCATGTTGCGTCGTGTGGTGGCAGTAGCTTGAAGACACTGCAGATAGAGTATCAGTTTTTGGTCAACATCATCCTTTCTGTTTTCACTGTTTTTGCATACAGCTGATGTGTTGGTTTTTGAAACCAAGTCTTCCTTTTTTAGTGTTTCCCTTTTCCTCGCTCATTTTGCAGTGTAGATATAGAGCTTGCATGTCAACAAACTCTGTATGCAAGTTAAATAAAAGCTCAGTATGTCCGAGAACACTTGAGTTGGAGGAAATTATTTTATAACAGACTTCTCTTGTAGACAAATCATGGAAAATGACAACACTGGAAATTTTCCTTTTAGTATCAAGCAGGCATAAAAAGTTGTAGCATGACGTGTCTTCATGAATTTTTCTTACTTCGCATTGCACCTCCTGCAATATGACCATTGTGCAAGTTGATGCTGAAACAATTTGTTGTTTTGCATGTTACCATCATGTTATTGGCTGATGTTTCTTGTGCATTTGAAAATGTGATTCTAATTTGTTCTCTCTTTCTCTCTATCTCTCTCCCTCTCTGTAGACATGCCAAGTCTAAAGCTTATATCTGCAACCGACACACAGTATTCAGCCACTGTGCTGAAGTCCATGAATGAGCAGCGGAGTCATGGATTGTTTTGTGATGTCACCATTATTATACAGGACAAGAAATTCAGAGCTCACAAAACAATCCTGTCAGCCTCGAGCACGTATTTCCACCAGCTCTTCAGTGTTGCCGGACAAGTGATCGAGCTGAACTTCATCAGACCACAAGTGTTTGAGCAGATCCTCAACTATATTTACAGTTCCAAGATTATCCGTGTTCGTTCCGACATGCTTGAGGAGCTCATAAGCGCTGGACAGATACTGGGAGTCAAGTTCATTGCAAACTTGGCGTCACCATTATCAGAAGTTAAAGGTCTGCCCGGTTTGTCCAAGGACACAGAGAGCAAAAGTGACACAGCCACAGAGATGATGCCAATCATCACGGAGTCTTTCTCAATATCCGCAGAGGAATTCAATCAGACAAACAAACCTGCAGGTTCCGACGATGACTCAGACAGTGATGTAATGTTTGTCTCGCATACAGATGCTGAACCTAAAGCAACCGATCAGAAAGCAACCGATCAGAAGGCAACCGATCAGAAAACAACTGATCAGAAAGCAACTGATCAGAAAGCAACCGATCAGAAAGCAACCGATCAGAAAGCAACCGATCAGAAAACAACTGATCAAAAAGGAACTGATCAAAAAGGAACTGATCAAAAAGGAACTGATCAGAAAGCAACCGATCAGAAAGCAACCGATCAGAAAGCCAGCTCTGGTGAGGTTCCTGATGTAGATAAAGCTCAGTCAGAAAACGTCAAATCAAACCAAAATGTAGAATCGAGTGACGCAGCTGCAAAACCTGAAGAAAAAGCCCCAACCACATTGACAACACATGCTGCAAAGCCTCCCAGTACCGGCTGTCCTCAACCCACTTTGCCGGACAGCAGCCCTCTGCGCAGCCCGGACAGCAGCTCCAATAACTCCTCTTCCCCTGCCAGAGTTTCCTCAGCAAGTGCTCTCACAACACCAGCCACATTGAGTAGTTTCCCCCCCGAGCCATCGAGTGTCTCCCAGTCGTCTGAGAACAGTGACATCATGGGAGTCCACAAGAAGCAAGTCTCTGCTTCATCTCAGCAAGGGGATTTCAAAATACGGCTCCTCGATGTGTCTCAAAGCTCATCAGTTCAAAGTAACATTCCCAAACCTGCCATAGCAGCAAAAAAGACTGTGACACTCAACACTGCCACAGAAATTGATTCTATTTCGTCAGGCTGTAAAGTGTATGCCAATATTGGAGAAAATACTTATGACATTGTCCCAGTGAAGGAAGATCCAGGAGAAGGCGGCTCCAAAGCCAGTAATGGGAAGAGATCTTTAATGGCAACACCCTTAAAACCCTTAGATAAAACACCTGTGTCACCCAAGGCTGGACCAAACAAGAAGAGGACCAAAACGGAGCTCGAGGATCATTACGAGCTCATCATGGACGGCAAGACTTTCTACGTGTGCATCGTCTGCAAGCGCCCCTACGTGTGTCTGCCCAGTCTCCGCCGTCACTTCAACACTCACTCGTGGGAAAAGAAGTATCCGTGTCGCTACTGTAACAAGGTGTTTGCCTTAGCTGAGTACAGAACTAAACACGAAATCCACCACACGGGCGAGCGGAGGTACCAGTGCTTGTTGTGCAATGAAATGTTCATAAATTACCAGTTACTCTCTGCTCACTGCAAGCAAGTCCACAATCAGGATCCAAGCGGGAGGAAAGAAAAAGACGACGGCGACAACAACTTATACCGCCTTCTGCCGTGTAAAACGGTGCAGATGAAGTCGTACTCGTGGCTCACCGACGGGCCGGGGGTCCCCGTCATATCCGAGGACGGCAGCGTGCACCACATAACCAGCGTCGGTGAGGCCGTCCACTCTTCTACCCAAACCAGGATGTTGAACTGGGACGACATCTTCGTCAAGCCCGAAGCTGACATGGCGCCTGACAGCCGCAGCCAGCCAGAGTCGACCATGAACACTCCTCCACAGGGAGCCACAGAGTTTGGCTTTGTTCGACCAGAGACCTATTGAGCAACACTCACTGCTCCTCATTACCTGTGCCTTTTAGGTGCCTGTTCCCTTTTTTTTTTGCGTCTTCAGTTCCATTTGTTTCCTATTTTTGTGTAATTCTTGATAGTGTCCGCTTAAGGTACGGTCGCATTAGTCTTTCAGTTCAAGGGAATTAGTGGTCTAATACTGTAGTAATAGTAACATAATGATGATGCACTCCAGAGTAATGTCAAATGCGCACAGTGAAATTTGATCAAACCCTCTGAACTGTAAATCTCCTGATGCCGGCTGCAGATTGCATCTCAACAGGAAACCATCGCTTGAGTTTGTCAGATATTCAGCTTTAATTGAAGTCAAAGGAAGATGGAGTAAATGGGTGCAGGATGGAAGTGTAATGTGACCGTACCTTTTCTCATGTTACTCTGCTTTAATGCTAGCCTCGATCTCTTATATCATTGGGATAAATGATAATGAAATTAGCAAAAAATAAAAAAAAATAAAATAAAAAAAATGCAGAAGTGGTTCAGACGCAGTAAAATAGTAAGAGTTTACATGAATGAGAACATTTCCATGCAGGATTCAAAAATTGCCCTGGAAAATAAGAGTGGTTCTCTCAGTAGCTGTACGAAAAAGGCAAAGATCATGTAATTTTAAACAGTGTGAAGTCATTGCTCTTGCAGACTTAGCCTCAAGTTCTCTAATAGCCAGAAGATTTCTGCTGTAAGATCTGAAGCACTATATTAAAACGACACATTTGCATCATGCCCCCTCTCATTTTAGTGGTGCTTTTTAACATTTAGGCCGCGTTGCCTAAAAGAGTGAATGACGATAAGCGGCCAGCTGAGGCCTGTGTCATAAAATGGAAACGGGGTTACCTATTTTAAAGCGTGAAAGCTCAGTTGAGTATATTTTTCTGTGTAACCAGGTGACCTTTTTCTTTTTTCCCCACTGGTCTGGGTACATGACTGCGTTTGTGGTTTCTACATGTCTATATAAATAACAAGTATCCCATCATGAAATAAAACAACGTTGCTTAATTCTAAAGTCCATCATGAACATTATGAACCTCTGTCTGGTTTTGAGGCTCAGATGTAAATTCTGTTGTGATGTTCAGGACTGATCATTCCACTTTACTGTAATTCTGTACAAGAGAATATCAGTAATGATCTGAAGTATCTTATTTCTTTATGTTTTTATGGCATTTTGGTGTCGATTAAAATCTTGTTTTATTTTGATACAACAGTGCATTTTTATTTCTCACCATCATGTTATTAACTGAAATGATAATATAATGCCCAAATCTTCCCGACTACATGGTGTAGGCGAGAGATTTTGCGTGCAGTTATGATAGGTTTGATATAACCTGAGGATTACTGCAATCCATGGATCTAGCATTCATAGCACCTAGTGTTGAATCAGACAGAAGACGTTTTTAAAAAAAATATTTTTACTTTTTCCACTCTGTTTTTCCATTGTGTCAAAGGATAGTGATTGAAGTAAAAGTAGTGCTAACACGGGAGTCTGTTCTGTATCATGTCATTCAGTTAAATCATGCAGGGTCTTGTTTTTCAATAAACAGATTAACATCGGTGTGTGTGATGTACTGTATGTAATTGTGTAACAGCCTTTTTTTATTTTTTGCAATTTCAGTTGTATTTATTAGGGTTATAGTGGTAAAATAAAATATTTCCCTGTTCTGTCAGTTAGCAGTGAGGGTTTTCTGATGCTAAATAAATTATTCTTTTGCTACTTTAACTTGTCCTGCACTACCAAAATATAAACATCTGCTGTTTTATTTACCATATGTGTCATCGTGGTGTACCTTCTCTAGCGTCTCAAAAGGATCGTATTTGCATGTCGAAGGCAAAGTGTGTTCTCTGCTGTTCTCACACAGTATTTTATTCAAAATTGCCGCATGACATTTCATTTGAAAGGATTTTCAGGCACAGTTTTGATGATTTGTGATGTGACTTTCCTTTTTGTTCATGTTAAGATTTGGATTCTTTTAGCTCCACACCAAAGAAACAGTTTTTTTGTGGATGTTTGCTCCATTTTTCCGTCCAGCCAGAAACCTAGTCGTCCTCAAATGTATTCACACCCTTTCATTAAAGAAAAGGCAAAATTCCCAGTAGTCACCCAGATAACTAGAAACTGAAAAAAGAAATAATAAATAAAAAATTGCTAAATTATAATTTAGTGGAACAAGACATTGCTTTTGAATTGTGGTTGAAAAGAATAATAATAAAAAAGCTGTCCCAAATTAGAGCCCTTTGCTGATGAGCATTGGGCCAAATCAAAATACCTGTCAACAGGTGCAGAAGTCTCATTGAGAGTTACAAGAAATCACTTGATAGCAGTGATTGGCTCAAAGGGTTGTTTAACAAAGTATTAGTTTACAGGTCCCATCATGCTTGTTTGCTTGTTTTTTTTTTTTTTTTAAATATATATTTCTGTTGAACCACAATTCAAAAGCAATGTCATGATTTTCATTGTTTTTTTGTTTATTACTTTTGTTAATTTCAACTTATTTCAACGACAGCTGTTTTTTCTCTCCTTCTTTAATAGGAGGGTATGAATAAATTTGAGGACGACTGTATCACTTTGTCTCTGAAAATCCATATTGAGAGAATCTGGTAAACTTTCCCATCTATAGCATCATACCGATTGTGTGCCAACTTTTCTGATGCAAACAAGACAAAAGTCTGCAGACATGCAGCAGTACGACTGTCATTAGACACAGCAGAGCTCTGCAATAAATGGTAACTAATGTTAAAACGCTAACATGCAGAAATTAAGCAGGCATAATGTTTAATCTCCCTTGCCTTTTTTATGAAATGTGCACCCATGTGTCATGCTCAGATGAACAGCGAATAACAGGAGAAGTGCACGTACGTCATTTGAAAGGTAACATCTTCGCAATTTCTAAAAATGTGCATGTGCCTAAAAACTGAACCTCAATGACATCAGTTCCAACGGGGCTTAACAAATATTTAGCATCAATCTACACCTTCAACCAAGTTTAGCATGGTCATCATCTGAGTGCAATGAACGTAACGAGGATCATCAGCGTTATCACAGATTTTTCCCAAAGAGGATGTTTGTATATGTGTAGCGAATTTCATGGCAATCGACCCAATACGATCACCAGAAAACATGATGGTCAACTTTCTGTTGGCCCAGTACGACAAATCAGGGGACTGAAGTCAGTTAGTTTCATCTAGAGCCTGACTGATCGGCCTGTCATCGATACGTCACTATCTGTGTAGTCAAACATAATAGAGGGACAAGGTGCTCAAAATTGTAACTCCACATATTTGTCCAGCAGAGCAGTTCAGACTCCATTGTTTAAAACACTCCCAGCACTGTCTGCAGCACATGTAGCAGAGAATGAATCACAACTGAGCAGACCTTGTGGCATCAAGCTGTGTCTCTGTGACAAATTGCTAACGATTTTTTCAAAAACATTGGTGGAATGTTATTAAATAATTAAACAACCTGATAATTTTCTTGTTTCAAATATACTTTGAAAGCTTATTTTTTAACAAAAATCCAGTCTCACTCAGGCTCCAATTTCATCCTCTGCAAACCATGAATATCTGTAAAAGCCCAGTGAAGAACTGATCAACAAACAGCTAGCTTAGGTAAAAAGTAAACAAAAACAAAAAACCCGCTATGTAAATTACACAAAACAAGTTTTAATGGCAAGACAAATAAGGAACCGACAACCAGTTCCTGAGAATGTGTTGTTTAAATTATAAAAAGCAGTGATTAAAGCTGACAGCGACTGTCTTCATGGACATTGACGAGGTTCACAATTCTACTGCGTTTTCTTTCTCTTCTTCAGTGAACACGAGCTTTTGATTTTTCATGATCTGTTGCCGCCTCCTATCAGTGAATCCAGCACTGACTGTCCACACTCAGCTATGATAATGTCCCCCCCCCGACAAACACAACACATTCAGCTATTAGATGTGATATTACAATTACTTACAAAGAGAGAGAGACACATATGCGTACCTGCATTGCAGCTTTTAGTGGAAATACAATAAATAGGGCTCAGAGTGTAATTTAAACTGTGGATCCTCGACAACTACTGTAGGTAGAATAGCTTATTTCTTCATAACACTGCTCTGCAAAGTTCACCAACACACTGATCTGGATATTCTTGAACATAAAGTGCAGAGTTGATAAGTAGATATCATGATCTGTTGGTATACTTTAGGTCTACCTGTGCTAACTGTATATCATACTGCTGTACATACATTATGAGCATGTAATACCTCCGCTACTGCAAACTTTGCCTTGAATATTGTACTGTGGCACTATTAACTGCTGAAGAAATGACTGCTTGGGCCTACGTCTCTAAAGTTTCCGTGATTTTCTAGCTGATTTAGAAAGACACCAAAGCTTTCGCCTAACTCGGCATTAACCTCACACAGCGGTGTGCGAATCAGTCCTCGTGCTGAGGCGGTAGCTTCTGTAACACTTGAGGCAAGAAGCATTTACAGGTTTTACTAAAGACAGCTGAACTTAAAGCATGATCTGGAGGAGAGTCTTTGTACAGAGTAAGTCCAGGTGACAGAGTGCTGCAGCGCTGGAAGTCCGTTTGCATTAAGGCAGATAGATGTGTAAACAGTCCTGGCTTGGAGCAGGTTGTCTCTCTCTTGTTGTGTATGTGCTCACACACACACACACAGTGCAGGCCAGAGTGTGAGTGGTGCCCAGGGAGACAAACACTTGCTTCCTAGTGTTGGGCTAAACTCAAAGTCAGTGTGCTCCGTGGCCATCCTCCTTGTCCTCCTCCTCCTCCTCCTCCTCCTCCTCCTCACCACCTCCTTTTCCTTTGACACAGTCCAGAACAATAGTGAAGAAAATCCCAGAGGAGCCGTGCAATCAAACCACTTGTTCAGCATCTGATAACACCTGGTGACAGTTCAGGTGTTTTCCTCTCGCAGCCGCGTTACGGGCTGTACGGCGGGGGCTTCTCGTCAGGGTGGTTGTGAGGAGGGGAGTAGCGTGGAGGGATCATGGTGGGCCACAGGTGGCTGGCTCCAGACTGGGAGTCATCTGATAGAGCCGAGGAGTCAGGGAACATGTAGGAGCCCTGCAGGGAGGAGCAAAGGACACAGTAAGCTGCTGGTTTTGTGTTGTTTGCCAGTTCTATTTCACAGTTTATCAATGTGATGTAAGTTGTTTCTTTATTACAATGCACTGAGGTCTTATACTGAGTTATAATTTGGGGGATTTATTGTAATTAATGGGCAGGTGTGACAGAATGAAGGACTGGGAACATGAACATGAAGAAAAATGTGTAGAAAGGGGCCTTAGTTCAGTTTTTGACCTCACGCTAGACTTCACATCAGACCTAGAAATGTTTTCAAAATGAGCCAAGTGAAAGCACCAGACTCAGTGGCAGTGTTAGACTTTGCCTGTTATAAACAAAAAGCCAAGTCTTATTTATGTGGGACGGGGGGGAAAAAAGTTAAGAGACAGACTTTTTTTCTTACCGTCTATAAATACTATAAAATGTAATGCCAAATGTAACTTATACGTCTGGGCCACAGAGCCCTATTGTTGTTCTAATATGGTTAAAAACACATTAGTGAGCCACACTATTGCACCAGTGAACGTGGACGTGGTAATTTATTGTTTTGAATCGATCCCACCCACACTATCCCGCTGCTGTAAATCCGGAGCTGAAAATCATCCCTAACAAATTTATTCCTGTATGAGTAACATTAGCCAAAAACTACAGTGTGGCTCTCTTATAGGAAATGATTTTGCCTCATTTACAAATGGAAATATGTATTTGTGACCCAGTTTAGGATTTAATGGGCTTGGCGTTGAGAGACAAGGACAGGAAAGCCAAAAAAAACAACTGATGGATGGACACCACTTCACTGACAAAAACAAAACTTTAAATGATTTTGTAGCCTCACTTATTTTCAGATCATAAGTGATGTAAATAACTTTTAGAGCAGTTTTTTGATACAGTAGATGTCATCTTAGTTCAGAATGTTGTCTGATTCATTTATTTATTTATTTTTTTAAACTGTCCATATTATGCACATATACAAGTTTATAGTTCTATTTTGGGGGTCTAGTAGACATGCTTTAATTTTCAAAAAACAATCAATCCATACAGTGCTGCAGCACTTCTTCTCTCTCTCTGTCTCTATGAGTCACTGGAAGAGCCCAGTCTGCCCTGATTGGTCAGCTAGCCTGACGAAAGCAAGATAAAGGTTACGTACTGTAACTTCAGATCTATAAGTATAAGCAGAGAAAGGTAGCCCTTGCTGAAGCTGCTCTGGCAGAGAAACAGTGGCTGCTCATTCCTTGTCTGAGGGCTGCCACACTAAATGCGAGGCACACTTCATATGAACATATTACATAATGACGTAAATAAGTAAGAGGAGAAAGCCTAACAAGATGCAGCTCAGACAGGTAAGATGCAGTGAAAGTAAAAAACAAAAAATACAAAAGGTGGGCTCTAAAAACATGGCAGTTTGGAATGAGACCCTTCATCTCTCATATGACAAACAATAATATCTCAGTGAACCACCAGACGATTGGATTCTGCGGGTACCTGCAGGTCGTAGGCAGTGTAAGGCGGCAGGCAGGGGGCAGCGTTGTAATAGGAGTTGAGAGAAGTGGTGGGTGGAGGGGCCTCTGACGGGACTGGAGCTGTGATGGCCTCTGGTTCAGATGTACTCTCTGAGGCAGCAGAGGGAGTCTGACAAAGAAACAAAGCATAT